CGTTGGTAAAAGAGTAGCCCAAGAGTTGGCGGTGGGTGGTGATGACTAGACTGCATTCCCTCTAGTTTTACTCTGCTAAATTGGGGACTGCTAGCGCAGATAGCCCTCGTGTAGCTTTGCGCGAAATTCAAAAACAACAAACTTATTATCAGTAATTGTAATTGTTGTTAGCTACATTTTTAATGTTGTAATCTATATGTCAGCTAGAGGGCGCATGATATTAAGATAGATTTAAAATGCCTAAAAAAGTATAAGTTGACGTTAAGTTTTCGAGACTACTGTTAGGGGGCGTTGATGTTTCAGTACTGCAAGATTTCATATTCCCGTAACTTCTAGATGGTGCCTTTATTAGTACATCTGCGAAGGTTATGGGTTCTAGTTCCCTCGCCAACTACAGAGCTTCCTTTGAGGATGGACACCTATTGTTCTTCAAACTAATTCTCATATCCTAATCTATTATGTCGTCTATAAACTGGTCACATGCCAACGAATGCAACATTCCACAAGGTCCATCCAAGTAAGATAACAGAGTAAGCTTTTCTAAATCTTCTGCGAGTTCAATTAAGGTATTTTCTTTCCTCCGTACCCTATTCAGGAATTTTGTTTTTTTATACTTCTTTCTGGTGCGACACTCCAAACCTGTCGGATAAGGCGGCTACCAATGCTTGCTAGTTGTTACTGCTCTCATCTGGTAGATTACTTAATATTATCAAATCTGGTTCTTTTCAATGAACAGCAAGATGGATGGCTTGTTGTTCGCTATTTCATCGATTTACTATGAAAATAATCTCACACTTAGCTCCAACAGTACCTTCCCATGATGGTCTGTTGTTTTCTGTATAGGCTAATGTTGAACTGGCAAACTAACTTTTGGAACTTGATTTGGTAATGTCATGGCTAGAGTAGTCTAGGAAGATCTTTCATAAACAAGTGATACAGCAGTAATGATAATATCTGTAGACCATATAAGTTCTCCTAGTCCATATTTGGAAGCAGGTGACGTCTTTAGCTGGAACTCCTGAGCTGATTTTGAAAGAAGTGTAACTGGTTCACTCTTTACATTTAATAATTCGTTTTCCAGATACTTTATTCTATTGCAGATGTTCTTTTTTTTACCTCAAATATTCGTTTCTACTTTCTTGATGTGTTAGTTTCTTTTCTATTGACTTCGTCGATTTCATTTTGTACGTCACTTTTGACATAATCAATTCACTTTTTTTGTACATCGGTGATATGCCCTACTGCATTTCTTGAAACTTTTTATTGGACATCCCCTCTAGCTTCATTTGCTTTGTCTTTGATCAGATTATTTTTTTTACTTTCAGACTTCTTTAAATAGTAGCTCTCTTTCTTATAACTCCTCTCTTAAATTTCTGTCTCGTTCTTTAAATTTTCTATCTTGTTCTTAAAGTGTTCTATCTTGATCTTCATTGGTCGTCTATTATTTTTTATCTCTTTCTTCTTGGTCCTCTTTTAACTTTCAATAAATTTCTTCCTGATTTTGTTTTAAGAATGCCATCATACCAAGAAACGCTTTGCTTTCACTCTTTGACCTCGTGGTCGCCACCTTGAACAGTTGAAGCTTAGTCAAAGTTCTATTTTATTTTCACCAAAATAATATCTTACTCCTGAAAGCAGCCTTTTAGCAATATTCTTTCGTTCGAGTTCTTTTAAATTATATTGTGAAAATTATTCAACGTTCAGTCCACGTGACGAGAACAAATGACTTTATTTCCCCTTTAACGTTTCTTCAAGCTTGCACACTTACACTCTGTCGTAACTTATTGTAGGCCTACGCTACAAATGACGTTCAAACTACTCTATCAATATTAATACTAATGTAAGATCAAATTGCTAGAACAAAGTAACCAAGTAAATACGATAGCAAACCCAGATCCAAAAATACTTCCCGAAAACACGCTGAATGATTCAACTTTTTATCTTCAAATATCCTTACACTATCTTAACTATATACTGCTGGTGCTTCACGGAATATTATTTATAATATAACTTTTTTGGCGTTTAAGTCTTATCTTAACATCATGCGCCCTCTAGTTAACATACAAATTAGAACATTAAAAATATAGCTCACAACATTATCATTTACACAATAATTTGCATACTGATCTCTTTTCTATAATTCTACATATACACTATACGCAATGAAAGAGGTTTTAAACTTTGATAATACCTAAGAACTATTTTTTAAAAAGCAACAACAGATGTTACTTAATTCAACATATATTTCTCCCAGAAATAACAGGTTTTTCTGCGAGGAACCTGCAGTACAGAACTCTTCCTGTCCTTAATTGTTGTTA